AAAATGCTCTCTAGCTCAGATGCGCCCGCACCGGCGACCGGGAAGCGATCGCGTAACCCGCAGGATGATGGTCCCGACGGTCAATGGGGGTTCCGAGTAGCTCGCACTTCTACTCCGCTCGGTCGGGGTGCTCCGCGTGTAGTTGAGCCTTTTCCCACATCGCCGGGGGTAAAGCGGGCTCGATTGTCGAAAGAGTCGGATGGTCGGGGTATCTCTGGACCCAGTCCCCATACGCTGCAGTTGCCGCCTCAGACGTCGCAGCTGCTCGATATCTACTTTGCGATCACGCATTCATGGTTCCCCGTGGTCGCCAAGCATAACATTCTTCGCGCTTCTTACCTTTACGCAAACGCTCCTTTCTCTATTGCCACGGCTTCACCTGGGTCCGGCGATCACGCCGCTCTGTGGGCAATCTTGAGTTACACCATCACTCAATCGCGAACAATTTCACGGGCCGGTCCCGCTGGAACGGTCGCTCTGGCGAAGGAATACTACGCCATCTCACGAAACCTCGTCCCCACGGAGAAAGAGCGTTGTGAACCTGGTCATATTCAGGCATTGCTGCTTCTGAGCTTAGTGAATATGGGTCTGGAAGATTGGACCGCGGCTTGGCTGTTGAGCGGCCAAGCAGTGCGCATGGCGATTTCCATGGGTCTTGGAACTGTGTCCGACGGCCGGCGGTCTGATGAACTCAGACAAGGTAAGGCGGTCTTCTTGGGATGTTTTGTAGTTGATTCATTGCTCTCTTTCCGTCTTTCGCGGAGTCCAGCCATGCCTCCAAGCGACCTTACTGCGGTAGGCCTGTTGGAAGAGGATGGATTGGAGGAGTGGAACTCCTGGGTGGATGTTTTACCACCCACAGGTGCTCCACAGGGCAGCAAGAACTCCCCGCGCCGAGGACCACTCTTGGCCTTGAGCTGCTTCAACCGGTTAGTTGAGTTAGCGAGTGTTCTCAACAAGGTCTCCCGCCACATATCTTCGGGATACAACATGGCCACCTTTGCGCAGCAATTGGTCATAGAGCTTAAGCAATGGGATGACTGTCTACCTCTGGGATGCCGCCTGATTGGACCGGAAAGCATCTATCCAGAACGACATTCAGCATTGCTTCCCCATCAGAGTTACCTAGGGTTGACCTATGTAGCCACCCTCCTTTGGCTCTATCTGCAATTGATCTCAGGTGAGCAGGGTTTGCACCGTTCACAGCGTCCGGCCACAGAGGGGGCCAAGAAGCTCCTCTACCGAGGGCTCTCTATGCTCACCCAACACTTAGAAAACTTCTCTATATGCGGTCTTCCACCGCTGTTTGAGCTAAGTCTTCGCACGATTGCAGAGCAAGCGTTCAGACTTCGAGCCACTGCCGACTCATCGGACACCTTCCCCTTTGCCCGGTGGGCAGACGAGCTCCGGCACAAAACGACAGCTTTCACCTCCACATGGCCGGCCTATGGATCTTTGGTTTCTGCCATGGAAAGGTGGCAGCACTCTGAAGATGTCGGGGGGCCATCCACTTTTCCTAGGGCAGTCGGCCTTCCATTTTCGGATGCACCCATGGCAGGCCCCATGCAACGCCCAGGTGGAGCTCGTAGTCTACCCCAGAATGGTGAAGGAGATTACACCTCTTCTATCCTTGGCATCAGTATGCCAGTTGATGGGCAGTCTTTGACCCCAAAAGACACCGTAATGGAAAACGCAGATCTAGGCATGATGGACGTGCCACTACACCACCCGAGGGAAGTACAATCGGGTTTACCAGACAAGATCACTCCGCGTAGCGGAGCAGATTCCGTGTATGGGACAGCCAGCGCACAGCATCAACAACCACAACCTCAAACTCCCGACTCGACAACCTCAAACCCAATGATGCCTGGGAATATAGACGCCATCTTCAAAGACCTCGCATACCTGGACACCACTGAATGGTCCACGAACCGCGAGGCTGGTCTGAAGGATTTCGGATTCTTGGACGACAGCACATTTCAGGCTTTCTGCCATGATCCCGATCGCTTAGGTGGATCGCAGCCACTGGTTCATCCGCCTTCCATAGCGGATATTTGGCCGCCGCCTGGGTTCTTCCCAGGGACGTTCCAGGAAGTGCCCGAGGAGTCTATGGGCGGCTGAGAAATCTCGGTATGATCTCACCGGCTAGCTTCTAAAGACCATGTGAATTTGGTCTACTCTATCTCCCTTGAAAGGTCATTTCCCATTTTGGGCATCCCATTGAGCTCCTGGGCTGTCTACGGAATTGCCAGGTCTTCCGGGCGCAATCATCATGGGGCACGGGGGTCTGTTTGGTCACACAATAGCCACCATCACTCTAAGTCTTATGCTTAGTATCAAATTAGCCCGCGGAAGATTCGTCTCGGTGGCTCATACTCCAACTGTCACACCCTCCGTACAGGGAGAAGACTCTTGTTCGTCCCCGCCTCACAGAGGACTGAATGCTATCAATTTATGTACATATACCCATGCTATAGGATCACTCGAAGTCCGGCGCATCTATACAAGTGTGGTGACTGAAGCCACGCTACAAATGAAACATTTTATTGGGAATATCAAATATCGCAAATCACTCAAATCGTAAAGTAGACATTTTCTATACAGCTCTTGACGTCTTGCCATTCTATCTCTATTCAATGCACCACACACAACCCACATCTCCAATCCCCCAAAACCTCTTTACCACACATTCCCAGACGTCTGCTCCCTCTGCAATTTCTTAACATTTACATTCCTCCAGAACCAGGTACAAAGAATACAAAGCGGCACAAAACAAACACCAACAATCGCCATTTTCCTCTGAACATCAGCATAAGCTCCAACAATAGCATCTCGCTCCCCGGTCCCATCTGCATACGACATCTGCTTCACCAAATCCGCAAAGATACTCGCCGAAAGGTGCTTACTCTCCTGCGGCAGCCTGTTATATAACTCCTTCTCGAGGATATTATTCCACATCCCGCCAGCAATGGCAGATCCCACCGCAGCTCCAATCGATCCGAATAATCCCCAGATCGCTATCACAACCGCGATCTCTTGGTGCGTTACCATCGCCATTATGGCTAATTGTCCGCAAACAGTGAACAGGCAGCTGCCGAGGCCCACGAGAATTTGAATCATCGTTAGCAACCCCACGTGTGTGTCTGGCGCGCGGAATGGGACCAGTAGTGCTGTTCCTAGAAGGAAGATTGGGACACCCGCCATGGCGGTCCATTTGAAGTCACCGGTCCAGCTTATTACTCTGGGAGAGGAAGGGTTGTTAGAATGTGTATAGGAAGCATGTTTGGTGGGGTGGGGCGTGCTTACAGGCCGAAGATAGGGCTGAAGATGAAAGAGGTCAGGGAGAAAGCATTGAGCACGTAGTTTGCGGTTGTGATGTCGAGTCTGTTGACGACTTGTAGGTACGAGCTAAAGTAGCTGTTCCACGTACTGTGTTTTAGGTTTTAGTATATTGCTGGCTTTAATGCTAATGGCTGGAAAGAGACTGGTACTTACAAGCAGGAGATGAACATCACGCCGTACAGCATGGACGATCCGATCATCGTTGGCTCTTTCAGATACTTCCACGGGAGGAACTGTACTGGTGAACAATATCGCTCCCAGATGTAGAATGCGGGGACGCACGCCACACCGAGAACTTCCATGGCGATGATGTATCCGCTCGCCCACCCCTTGGAGCCGTAGGTGGCAATGCTAAATGGGATCAGGATTAGGGAGAATGCGGCTGTGATCAAAATGATTCCAACAACTGGGTCAATCACGCCTTGTCAGTCACAGGTCAAATGCAAAAGAAGCTGTACATAGGGATGGGTACATACCATCAAACTCGATGAGATAGTGAACGATAGATTGCCACCAGACACGTCCAGAACGAATCTTCTCGAGGCTACCGCTCTTTTCGGCCCGACGTTGCATAAACAGCATCACTGCGGCGACGGGAATACAAACTCCAACTTGCATGATAGCGAATGAACCGAATGCCCAATTGAAGTCGAGGTTGGTGTAGAAAAGGTTAGCAATTTCCGGGCCTGCAAAGGTACTTGCGATACCAGGTGTACCGTTCAGGCCGATCATGATCATTCGATTCTTGAGCGAGGTCATGTCCGCCAGCATGATTTCCACAACATAGGTCAGACCGATGTGGCCTACCCAGTATAGAGTGTGTGCTGCGGTGTACATCTCCATACTTGTGCATGTAGCTTTCATGATTAACCCGATCGTGACGAGAAGGAGCATAATTAGGAATCCCTCCACACGGCCCCAGATGTCAATGATCTTGGCTAGTGTGAGCTTCGATGAGCCTCCCAGAATAGTCGAGACGACACTGACGACTGGCAAGAGGCCGTGCTTGTGGAATGAGGATGTGACGTAGGGGTTTAGTGCGCTTTGAACTGAGCCGAGGAGTGCGTCTACAAACGACACGAGGTAGAGCCTGTATTTCAGTGGAAGGTTAGTTCTTTACTTTCTGTTACTCTGGGCGGGGGGGTAGGAGTGGAGTTTGTTGATTGAAGTCCAGACTTACAGAATGAACATGAGAATTAGCGTCTTAGTTGACCATGTTGATGTAATGGCTCGTACTCGCCGCACACCACCCTGGTACTCGCTTGAGTCTCGACCAGACAGGCTTGCCTTGTCGTCAGATGGACTGTCCACGCCCTGATGGACTCCAAACTCCTTCATTTCCTCGACATCACGACTAGTATTGGCCTGTGTGGCCTGATCGGACACGGTTGTCTTTTGCATTATAGCTGAATAGAGACGATTGAGGGGTCCTTGCAACTATGAGGAAAAGTTGTGTTCAAATAACCGGCACCACCGAAGGAAGGCAGTTGATTCAAATTATATGGAGAGAATTCCCATCAATCACATCCTATCAGATCATCTGATAAAAATTCGCATCCTCGTCATCCAATCAGCAAGTAATTTGATTTCTTTAGCGTCGTAGTAAGGTTTCCCCCATGGGCCGTGGACCGGGAGTGGCTCGACCAAAACGGCAATAATCATATCAGATCCCCGGTCTCAATTTCCACCTTGATGTTGATGGACCCTGAATTGAGAGAAGTCCCGTTTACAAGTCGATATGAAGACAGGATTTCTTGTCCTCGCATACCGGAATGTGGCAAGAATATCGAGTGAAATCCCTTCAGACCGATGAGGTAAACGTTGGCCTCGCATCGGAAATTGCGCGAATATCGGAAGTTAATCAAAGTCTTGGTCTTGGCCTTGATCTTGGGGGGAGTGCATTCATCAATAGCAACTCCATACGTGCCCATATCCTACCTTCGCCGCTGGGGATCATGCCGCCTGTCCGTATAGATCAAACTTTACATGTCCCCTGAACAATATGAGATCTCTTCCCACTGTAAATTCAATGCTAGTGTGTCAATTCATTCTCCTCCGACCGCAGCTTGGGTAAAGACGAAGCCAAGACAGACGCCAAGCAGGAGCGATCTGCATTGTTGTCTGGCATTTGGACTTGGCGTTAGTGGATCTTCCAGGAGAGGGCGGTTCATGCGTCGCGATAAAACTTCTGCCGCCATAGCTTTTCGTGAAGTCTGGAACCTTTATAGTAAGAATATTAGGCCAGAAATGGGCGTCTTTCAGTAACGTTAGACGTCCAACCGTGCCTTGATGCATAGGGTCCTGTCATATTTACATGACTCTTCCTTTCTCTTTCTCTTCCTTTCGAACAAACTGATAACCCCAGCTCTCTAAAATAAAAGGGATCTACCTGCAGCTGGGAGCTCGGGTGCTTGATTTTGAGATGATTGACCGCAACGGTATGATTGTATTGTCGTGATTGCCTGCTTATAGCAAAACACAAAAGAATCCTCCATACATTCCATATGCCGAAACAAGAAATGCCTCTCGGGTGTTAAGAAGATAAACTCATGTTTGTATAAATATCACACATCGGACTTCATATTTCTAGATAAGATCCAAGAGGGATTCCATGCTCTCATAGAGCGATGGCATTTAGTAGATCAGTCTAGTTCGCCTCTTGGTCCAAGAAGCTAGCGAGCGGTCTTCATTGAGGTCTAAATCAGTACTAGATGATCCCTAGTCCCAGATTCCATGATCCCAGGCACGTTGCTCCCAAGATATATAGCTCCTGTAAGCCCCCGATCCTCGTAAGGTGCCATGGCCAAGCTGAGAAGTGGTGGCGGTCAGCGTGCCTTGGGCTCGAGCTGGGAGTGATTAATCATTACTGTGTACATGGGACTCTCCTGTATGCACAACTGGGTCAAGCTATTTGAAGTCGGGGTATTTTTTAGCAAACTTACCCAAAGCAAGAGTTGTAAAAATGAACTTGTAGTTCGGGTATGAGATAGCGCAGCTCTTGTTGAAGATACCTTCAATCCCTTCCTGTAGCCATTCCCCATTCGCCTGCTGCCTCGACATGATTAAGCGAATTCCATTAGCAATTGGCTCAGAATTGGGATAGTCGACGCTCAGAAGTGCAATAATCGCGAATGCAGTTTGAACGACCTGAGACCCTGTAGGATGCTCAACATACTTCACCTGTTCGCAGCTCTGTACGGGACTTGCTTGTTATTCTCTGAGCAGGCCAGGGAATGTTTGGTTTTTCTGCTAGTAGTGCTCACCTGGAAACTTTCTGACCATCCACCATCCTCCCGTTGCTTAGAGAGTAAGAACTCGCACCCTTTGCGAACAGAAATACTGTTTGCGTAATTCTCGCCGACAGATCCCAAACACTCCAAACCGAACATAGTCCCGTATGTGAAACATACACCCCAGCTTCCGTACCAGCTCCCATCAGGGCGTTGTGCCTTCTTGATATAGTTCACACCTCGCTGGATGAATGCTTGAATCTCAGTCCGCCGGTAATCAGGCCAATATTTTAAAAACAATGTCAAAGCAGTCAACACAGCACTTGTACACTCTGGATAGTCGTACTCAATCATAATGCGTCCAAAGACCTCTGCTGTGTTTAACATCTCCAAATATTCACCGCCCCTGGTCGGCTCATATGACGCACAGCCTCCCGAGCTATTCTGGTAAGTGAGCAAAGTGTCCACGGCATCAAAGATCCGTTGGTCGTCGAGTAGCTGGGGATATCCATCGGCCTCTTTTTGCAGTAGGATGACCGCTTTCAGTGCCTCTGATATACAATCACTCACCCCGTATCCCTGGTCACGATTGCTAAATGCCCAGGCTCCCTTTCGGAAATGACGATAGCAGACCCCTTGGTTTTTGCAATTTTCGCGAATCTGTTGTCGGTCTAGAAACTCGAGTGCTCGAGTCAGCATAGGCTTCCATTTTACATGTTCTGCTAGCCCAGCTGCAGAGACAGCCTGGATCAGAAACGCTGTATCCCAGCACTGTACACCATTTGTACCATTGACGAACATTCCCTCTTTATTTACCCATAGGAACTCTCCCATGCGTTCTCGATGACGAAGCACGGAATCAGAATCAGGTCCATCGCGAATATAACAAACAAGGAGATTCATAGGTGCGTTGACGGATGCCAAATCGGCGTAATCCGAGTTCGCATCCTCCATATCTATCAACTTGCTGACCCAGTCCTCAGCACGGCTCGCCAGACTTTTCGGTCGTAGGTATGGAGTCCAAATATTTGCGAGGAATAAATTGATTGAGTTGAGCAGCCACGTCTTGGGGTGGTAGTTATCGCTTGGAGCAATGTCATTGCGGTGTGCTGCCCAGTCAATGCTTTCCCATGACTGAACAAACAACTCCCGTCGCAGGGCTCGGATAACGTCCGTCTCCGGGGCCGTCCATCTCTTCGACCAGATCCACGACATTGGCAGGAAGACTTGTCGGATATGCACCCACCATCTCCATGGGGCCAACGGCACCCAGTCTGGCAGAAGCCAGGCCTCTGGGGGAACCGGGTTGACAATCTCCCAATCACACACACCTAGCACGGCTAACCAGAATTTCGACCAGTGTGGCGCATTCAAGGCGCCCCCTAGACGATGTAGCAGACGCCGCGCTTGAATCATAACCGGGTGTTCTGCTTCCATACCGAGCAATCGCAACACTGTGTAGTTCAGGGAGGTGCCGAACACGGTACTGTCGCCTTCAGTGTGCAAACCCCATCCTCCATCGACAGGGTTCGCGCGAGAGACAAGGTATTTTATAATCTCCGTTGCATATACTGGAGGAATATGTGTATCGGTCACCACCCATGCGATCACAACCCCGGGTAACAGAAACATCGGTCCACCATATTCGCAGCCCCAATTTCCTGGCGGCAATTGCTGTTTAGAGAAGAAGGCCAAGCAGTTGGAGACGCTTTCTAATGGAGAAGTGGCAGGAGAAAGATCTGGAAGATCCTTTTATCGCATTAGATTTGAGACAAGCCATGGTTAGGGATCATTGTGCAGGTGACGTACCAGCGGAAGCCCTAAGTAATACTTATCAGCTAGTGTCTGAGGCCATTTGGCAACCGCGTCGTCGTTGCCGAGGTAATGCCACGTATGCTTTCCGTCCTCATCTAGCATGCGCCATCGCTTATAATCCGTCTTTTCCGCTTGACTCATGCTGGCCGGACAGGTGAGCACAACAAATCCACTTGAGACTGAGGCAATTATTCTTTAAACCAGAGGATGGAATTCTAGAGCGGAAAGAAATCGGCCCCTGCCGAAGACGAGACAACAAAAGGGTGAATCGGACGATGTGAGTGGAGCGTGGAAATACTTTGTAGGTCTCAAGGCTATTCTAAGGCCAGCGGTGCAGTAGCTTGGCCCCCAAAAGGCATAAACACAGACATGGAGTATAACTGCCCCCGCCCCCCTTACGGGCGACTAAGTATGCCACCAGTTCATAACTCTCTCATTGGATATTACCTCACCGCTTCATTCATCGCCGGGGGCATAAACAAGACAAGAATTGGGATCAGCCGCTTATATGGCCTATTTATATATTCGTTTTAGATGTCTTTTGAGATGTCTTTTGGGATATCTATTAACCTATCCGTGTCGCCTCCTTGATCGCGATCTTGGACTGCGATACACGCGCGTGCTTTGCTGAACTGGCGTCGATTGCTGTCCCAAACCCGCAGTTGGTCGGGGATCAAGTCTCCGTTGGAGAGATTCTCAGGGATCGTATGGAGCCTTTCCATATCTTCTAGGCATTTATTGGATCCCTATTAGGCCCTAACACCCGGCATGGACCATAGGTATTCCTAACCCCTATAAGTCACCTGACATATTATTATAGCCCCCAAAGTGCCGTCTGACCTGCGGGCCTAACTCTTATTATAGATCATTACACAAGTTACAGCTAATTGAGTCTGCCCACTCGTATTGAAGCTGCATCATGTTATATTTGTCTTGCTCGGCCGCAAGTATTGGCTATGCCTCTCTACAACATAGCCAACCTGGGTCTAGGGACTTGCATATACTTGCTGCATATACTTGTATCAATATGGTTGGGATTCATGTATGCTGCAGTGTTTCAGTCATCCTTGTAAAAAAGAATACTTTAGGCCATCTAGAGGGATAGAAAATAAATCTGGAAAGATATAAATACTATGTTCCCTTATTGTGAATCTTTCGTTTACATCCTATCTCCTAGTATATCAGATATCTTTCTATCAATCCAATATGAAGTTCACTATCGGCTCTCTGCTTCTGGCTGCTAGTGCAGCCCTCGCTGTCCCCATCGTTGAGCGAGATAGCTCTATTCAGATCAGTGACTTCTGGGCTAGAGCTAGTCCGGGCTCCTCCGCTACGATGCATTTCGTCGCAACTGATCCAAACTATCCTAACGATACCCCTACCGACTGCAACCTGATATGGTGAGTCTGATTCATTACACATCCCTGACAATGGCAGACGTTTACTGACAAGATTTAATGTTAGGACATACGGATCTTCGCCCAAGGAAAGTGCCCGGTGCAACAACAGTCAATACTATATCCACTTCCCTGATGGTGCTGTGGACTTCAACCGGTTTACATTGGGACTTGAGAGGATTTCAGGCCCGATTGCTGAGAATGGCCATGTCTTTTTGAGCTCGGGTACACAGTGGTCCTGTGTAGACAACCCGGAAAACAATGTTCAGCTGAGCTGCTCTTATGATGGTGTTCTTAGCATGCCCGTGTGAGGATATGAGGTGTTGACTTGGTATCAAGTCTGTACGGTTTCAGTGGAACTCTTCTGTATTCTACATTGGTGGATGTATATGCAATATATGAGTAACTTTATTTTCGATATCATACCTACATACATGTACCTAGGTACACCTGGGCACCTGGGCAGGTACCCAGGTAATTGTATGTTAATTGTATGTTTCTAGGGCATGCGCTGTGTTCTAGAGACTTTGATTTTTGTATCAGGTGACTCTCCCAGACAGAAAAGGAAGGCATGACCCAACCCTAGAGGGTCCCTTCCCAATTAGGAAGGAGCTCGTCACCTACCCCGGTTTCCCCAGATCCTTAAGCCACTGCCAGGATATAAATACTCTTTTCCTCCCATTTATCTCTTCTTTCTTTCTTCCTCACTCCCACGGCCCTGGCCTGCCTTCATATATTCCTCAGTGACAACTTGCCTCCACGATGACCTGTCTCCATGTCAACTATCTATTGGAGAGATAGTGAAACAAATATTACCATTGACAGTGTCGATAAATCTTTGCGGAAGGTCGTTCCGCTGGGTTCCTTGGGAGTCAACGAATTTGGTGGTGGGGACCAACGAAATGGTGACACTCGGAGTACGGAATATCACTCCTGGTGAGGCTTGGGGCCTCTCAAAGGTGATTCAATTCGGCCCCAGAGAGTTCTCGTCACATACCTCATGCTTGACTGGATTCAGTGAGATTTCGGAATTAAGCCGAGTAGGCGTCCCTCTGCATAACAAAGAAAAGGGGTAAAGTGCTCCTCCAAGTATCTTATACTGCAATATTGTCTAGTTGTAAGTGAGACTGGTCCAGCCACCAACTAAACCTCAAGGGTCGACAAGCAATGACCGTGTAGATCAACTGTACGACACCCGATTCGGTGAACTAGTGTCCACTAACCCCCGCTTGGCGTTTTTACCAACTTGGTGGTTCCTCAATTGATGAAGATCGCCATGATCGTCACCGTACTATGCCGAGGAGTGGGGAAATATAAGGCAGATCAAACACTAAACAATGCCTGGAGCACATATAAATGCGGGTTTCCCCAACCTTACTCAAGAGAGTCCTTCCGGGATCTGGGAACAGACTGCACAATGTCAGCTCGACAAATTGTGTTGTGCTTCGATGGCACAGGAAATACCTTCCGTACGGACGGCACAGACACCAACGTCTTAAAAATCTGCCGCATGTTAGAAAAATCCGACGAGCAACGTAAGATTTACCTCCTATCTTGAGACTGAAATAAACCTTCTAACCGCAAGCCAGTATGTTACTACCAACGTATGAGCGTATTCACCAGATAACCACAAATATACTGACCCCAAGCAGCGGGAATTGGCACTGACATAACCCCGGGCTCCTTGGCCAGCACAACGATTCAAAAGAAGGGCAGACTGGACAATAGCAAAGCGCTAAATCTCGCACTAGGTCGGTCATTCGATCGGCACGTTTTGGGTGGGTATCGCTTCCTCATGCGCCACTATCAAGCCGGCACCAAAGTATACATTTTCGGCTTCTCCCGTGGCGCGTACACGGCGCGGTTCTTGAACGAGATGCTGGATTATGTCGGGCTTCTTGGCCCAGATAATGAAGAAGTGGTTCCTTTTATCTGGGATGCGTTTGTGTCATGGAAACTTATCCGGACGGATAACGACAGAGAAGAGAAGCGAAAGGCCTTTCGAGTCATGAAAGAGAGTCGGGAGATATTATCCCGGCCTATGGCTCGTGTGCACTTCTTGGGCATGTTTGATGCGGTCAATAGTATTGCAGACTTTGAGGTGAATGTTGACGGGAGAACCTCGAGCAAGGTAGTTCGACATGCAGTTAGCATTGATGAACGGCGTATCAAGTTCCGGCCGGTCTTGCTGAGGTCGCATCAAGATGAATGGGTTCGTGGAACGCCCTCAGGTGAAAAGAAGCCCGAGAAGGGGACCTCGACCAATGACTCTGAACACACATCTGGACCTCCCGTTCTTCCAGAAATCCCAAATATCACCGTACCAAGCAAGAAACGAGAGATAGAAGCAGATGACGACGATGAAGACACGCAGGATATCGAAGAAATGTGGTTTCCCGGCGGACATGCAGACATTGGCGGAGGATGGAATCTCGGATCTAATGAGGCATGGCCATTAACGCACGCGCCTCTCGTGTGGATGGTACAAGAGGCGCGGCGCGCGGGACTGCGACTCGACCCAGGAAAGCTGAAACAGCACGAGTGCATTGAGGAAGTTGATGATGACTTTGATCCGAAAAACGCTTCAAACTCGAAGAGGAACGCCTCAAGCTCGGAATTATCGATAACCCACAAAGTGTACTTTGAGGCACTTCAACTGGCCGGCACCAGAGGGCATATCCATGATCTCCTTGCGTATGGTAACGGTCTTCCGCTGACTTCCGTCCTCTCGTGGCGTTTGATGGAGTATCTTCCTCTGCGACGGATGGAATTGCAGGCTGATGGAGCGTTAAAGGCTGTGCGGTGGCCGCCGCCGCGTGGACGGGCCCGCGATATCCCAGTGAATGCTCAAATTCATGTCTCTGCTATCCATCGTATGAAGTCGGACCCTTCTTACCGTCCTAATAATTTGATTTTTGGTTCGACGGAGCGGAAGGGGGACGCAGGCGGTGCTGCTGGAATCGGGAATTGGGTAGTCCACTCGCATGAAGGTGATCCGGTGCGAGAGAGGTATGTTCGTCATTAGGGATGGTACTGCTGTATGGTGCTTGCAAGTTTCAGGGACCGGATGAATTCAAAGACGTGTTGAATGTACCATTCTCAGATCACAGCTCAAACTATGAGATGAGGACCAGGGAGATGACCTCCCTCGGTTAGTTGCGCGTCCGTATGGAATTGTTAGCAAATGGCTGTTTCTTGGGGCGTCTACCTTGTCTATATTGTAGATTATTATTCCAAGTCAATATGATTTCTTTTAAACTGCCCAGATTCGTCTATATCGCTTAGGATGGTAACACAGCTCAGGCTACGTACGGGCGACTAAGTATGCCACTGGTTCATAGCAAACTAACTATATAGTTGAAGATAACGCTGCTTTAAAAAAGAGATATAATCTGATCTTTATGGGAGTTAAGATTAATAGTTGGCCGTGCTATTATAAAGTTGATTAGTTATATAGTCAAAGGTTATATGTAGAAAAGTCTAGGAAAGTCTCTTATTTATATAGAGTATACTTTTTACCGCCCTCGTATATTTCTCAAAAGCATTTAAAAAGCACTTAGAAAGATTTTAGGTCGCTTTGATATGATTGAAACATTGGTATCACTAGAAATGATCAGTAGATGTAATAGGGATAAAAAAGGTCCAGCGACCAGAAATGAGTCTTCGTCCACCCAGCAGACGATGCCAACACGGCGCCGTTGCAAAACGCCTCACTAATGACTCCTTTGAAAACATGGAATTACCTTGTCCTCAGATATGAGAATGGATGCAAGATCGAGTAAAAGGGACAAAGGAGCAGAAAGTTGATATATGTACAAAAATAGTCCAAGGAGAACGAAAACGGCTGAAGAGCAAAAGATCAATCGAGGATATACTGCACCTCATTGCATGAAGACTGGAATGCCTTGAGAAGCTTGTTCACACGATTTGTAATCCAACCAGACTGCGTGCCATTGGTAGCAACGCCCGCAAAAGTAGTAGAAGCATGTTTACAAACGCCCTCGATGTGATTAAACGAATACTGCAAGCAGTCATCATTGCGCGCGCAGACCTCCGCACAAACATCCAGCGTAGGAATCGTGCCAGCCGCAAAATCAATCTTGATCCCAGAGAGGTTATCCCAATCGTCGCGCGCCGAGAATGTCCCGTTGTAAACAAGTTTCTGGTAAACGTCCGCATGCAGCATGAGCGCGTTCTTCCCACTAGCAAAGAATGTCCGGTCAAACTCCCACATCTCCTCGATATCTGCCGGCCCCATGTGGTGGTACGAGATAACAGGGTAACACCACGGCTGTCGCCCGTATCCCTCGGAGAAATGATCGATTTCCCATGGCCGTGATGTCATCATCATCGGCCAGGCCCAGGTCAGATCAACGTGTATTTCGTGCAGCGCGCGCGCCAGCGCGCAATCGCCTGCCCACTCGTGTGCGGTCATAGCTTCGAGATCTTCCTTTGCCCCGATCTGGTACTCGTGCAGACGGTTCATCGTCCAGCTTGAGAGGACGATGCCCGCACCGCCGTAGCCGAAGAGTGTTTCGCCGATTTGCATCGGGCTGCCCAGGTAATATTGTCGATCTGGATCGAGATGTGCCAGCCAGCCGATCAGGTTCGGCCACACCATGTAGGTGTCGGCTTCGAGGAAGACATACCATTTGGCGTCAGGCATGACTTCTAGTGCTTCGTCGATCATTGGGAGGAACTTCCATTTGTCGAGCTTCCAGCCTGGGTTGTTGACCTTGCCAAGTGGGCCGTTTGTGTCATCGCCCCATTCTTCGTCTGTTAGGCCTTCGCGTCCGACTTCTTGTAGACGGCGGTAGATTTGAAATTCGGGCTCGTTTTTCATTGTGGTCTCACTGATGTTGCGGAGGACGTCATATGTGCGGACACCGTCAATGGTTTCTTCATAGTCGGAAAAGATGGCGAAGTGTGGGACGCATTCCAGCGTGGTGCGGAGGTGGATGGGGACTTTTTCGAGGGATTCGGTCGCGCCGGTTTTGATTACAACCATGACATCGTCAAGTGCGTGTAGTAAGTGGCCACATTTGTCCTCCAATATCTCCTCTTTGGAAGGAGGTGGAGGACTTGTCTGCTTCTCCTCCCCTACCACAATTATTTCTCCTCCGGCTTGAGGGATTTGTTCTGAGTTGTTCACGATTGTTGGGTTGGATTCAGGTAGTCGAATGAGATAGTATACGAAACAAAATGTAAGGATCGGAAAGATGACGAAGAGCCATCGTCGCGGGGAACTAGACATAGTCGGATTGGGCGCTTGGGGACAATCTAAAAATCAAACAGTATCCGATGCCATTCAGCTAACGAAAGTAAGGAGGGTAATAAAAAGCTGAAAAGACTGAAAGGATTGAAAAGATGAATTCAAATGCTCGATAGCACGCAAGAAAGGAAAAAAAGGGTCAATGATCGCTGTCCCTGAGCCAAACCAGTTCGACCCTGCCTCCGCTGCCTCCGTTAACAGTGGATAATCCACAGGCCAGCAGAAATGATTCGGTCGAACCTCAGAACGGGGTAAACGGGGGAGCTTTGATAGGCCAAGCGACAGGTTCATTGGGGACTGATCAACAACCACGCGGCACATGAGCCAACTAAGCTGTGGCGTCTTTCAGACCGCTGCCCCACGGGAAGCGTCATCGCTTGCGGGACTTTGCATGGCAGGGTAATGATCGACTGTGTACTCCCGTCGAGTTTTGGTTAGTGGGGGAAGATTCAGGGGGTGAGGATCAGGGGTGTGTCAGGTCTCAAGTTTGAGATTGATGTCAATTAATATGTAGGTACTCTGGTTAGAGTAGAGCAATCAGCCATGGCGTTAAATAAATTAAGCATGAAACAAGGATACCTACCACAGACACGGACGTGTTCGGATCGGCAACGGGGTTGGGGCTTGATTGGGGCCTGGAGGTTAAGGCATGAATCACGTGTGTTTCAGTTGAGCACAGACCAAATTTGGCACAAACCAGGGTCCGGTTGCTCAACGGTCAACTCATACACCCATATTGTCGCATTGTGTCTAGTCAACATACAAAATAACAAATTCTATTCATTCATCGCACATTTTACAGCTATATACAGCTCGATTCAAGCTTCGGCCTCAGCTTCAGCTTCAGGTTCAGCCTCAATTCTCAACCGTCTTTTCCGCTCCCACAAGAATACGGGAGTGATAGTCAAAACAACAGCCACACACAGAATAGCAGCCTGAATACCAAAGACCAGTCCAATCCCATTGCGCTGAATCCACGCAGGCTGGAAGTATCCCACCGCGAACCCGCCGCAGGTGCGCCACATATTCAGAATGGCCGAGACACAGGTCGCCTGCTCTGGGTACTTTTCCAATGCGTAGGCCGAGATAGTACTGTGCAAACGATGTTAGAGATATTACCAATACTCAACAGAGCGAGGCTGAAACTTACACAATCGTGGCTACCATACCGATGTTCACCATGATCCACCCAATGGCTATCCCAATCCAATGCTTGCCGAAGTGCATGGTGAGTCCGTAGGTGAGGAGACCGCTTGCCATGCTAGCTGTCGGGAACCAGGCGCCGTGGAGGCGGAGATCCGTTCTCCAGGTTGAACTATGGCGCTTGAATATCCAGCCGTTGAAGAAGTGGCCAGCTGCCCAGCCTGGGAGGATGATGAGAATCTCGAGAGATGGGGGCGGGAGGGGGCGGGGGGAGTTCATACCACATAAAGCTCCAATCACACCGGCGAATCGCATCGATGATGCTTCGATCGTGTTAAACAAGTATGGAGGGCTGTGCAGGAAGGTATCGATGGTGGTTGTGATTCCTGGACTGTCAGCGGGCGAAAGAACGGTGTGAGGGTGATGGCTACTTACCAATTGGCCAGGTAAATGTTACCAAAACAGTCAGACCTGTTGACAGAATTCTGGTCAGTGAATGCTATCGCAAGCTATGTCGGCCATACCCACCAATCATGAACAGCGGGAACTTGAACACATAAACCACGACTGTTCGGCTCCAATATATCAATGTCGATCCCTTGGGGAGCATGGTATTTCCAAGGCCAAAATAAGATGCGAGGCGTGACTGCTTGGTCGTTCTTCCAGGCTCATGGTATGTTTCATAACCGAAAAGGATCACCATGGCCGTGGACACACCATAGATGGCTGTCAGGACTCCGAAGGACGTGCGCCAGTCCGACCCGGCGCTGATATATCCTGCTATCGCGGGACCGAGGAATGGTCCGACGAGGAAGGTGGTGCCCCTGTTTTCAGTCAGTGCTACTCTAGTTAGAGTCGAGTGGCGAGTCTCCTACCAAATATTTATCATCCGCGGCCATTCTGTTGTCTAATCAGCTTCAAGTACCCGCGACAATCCCAGAAAAAGAACTTACCAGCCGAGGTATACATGTCATGAATGATCGGAAGTCCGATTACCTGAGGCACTGTCCCAAACAGACCCTGCAGAGAGCGGAATATCGTGAAGGTAGACCAATCATTGGAGAGAGTAGCACCCAACACCATGAACATGGTAATCACCTGAGGCCACAGCCAGATCGGCAAACTGCAGCTGTCAGTGTGATAGCCAACGCAGGCGAAAAGAGAACCAACTCACCGACCATATGCTTCAATGAGCGGGACAGCAAAAACGCCCCCAAACCCCTGTAACAAAATCCCATAATTCATACTTGTCGCTGAATGAGCGACGCTAACGTCCCAATCCATGGCCTGTTCCGTAACTAGCGTTCCACCCCAAACCATAGCCCTGCAAGACATTCAGTCAGAAAAATCATGTATACATACACATCTCGGCTGGTAGGTGCGATGCGCTTGGAAATCGGCCACACATACCCATCTGCTAACAACGAGCTCGTCATCAGCGACACAAAGAGCATCGTCTTCCGAGCCGAGGACCAGTTCCTCGGGTTCAAGGGATCTCTGGCCTCGACATCTGAATTGGAATAGCCTCCCTTCAGTTCCTGTGTTTCAAGCGACGACGACGCACTGGCAGCCATCTCGTGCGTCGAGTAGACCGGGGAGGGTTTCTCCATGGTAGATATGTTCACCCTTCTTCGTTATATTCTGTGTAGTGTAATAGGCGACTCCAAAACAGTAGATTTGAGTTAGGTAAGGAGGTCAATGAAGATCTTTTTCTTTTATCGTGTGATGGGGCACTGCAGGTTTTATGCATGGCCGGTTTTTTTCGATCACACATGGGGATACTCGCGTGGCTTTTGTCTCCCAGGGAGATTCTAGAAAGTAGTTTTTAGGAATTAGGAGAGATCAGATGTCCATAACTCCCGATTTGGATCTGTTGAAAACTCTCCGGAATCTATAGTGGATGTATCACAAAGGTAGATCGGAGCTAGTAGATCCTTTTGCCTTCAGATAATTCGCTATTGAGCACTTTTATTTACTGATTTATTCCTTTTTCTTTTTTTCCCTCCTTTTTAGCGTATTGCCGCGGCATTGCATTGCCGTTTCTTTGTCTCAATGTGATATGATATCCCTTGCACATACCTAACCCGGTCATGTTGGACCAATAACCTTCCACAAAGCACAATCACCCCATGCTGATAATGGATCAAGGATTATGGATGGTATTGTAATCTACTAGTATTCCCGGCATGGATTATCTACATCGTATTCTCATATTAGGGCCGGAATCCGTGCGGGCCATCGAATGTTGTACATGTACGGAGTAGATATTTAGAGAGTATAATGCAGAGTATACTTCCCTGTCATCTTCATATTCAAAAATCTTCTAATAATTCCAATCCCCAATGTCTTTTCTAACTCGCCTAGCCAGTTTACTGGGTCTGTCCTCCCCGGCCCCCGCCGTTGCACCCCCCGGCGCCGCCCTGGCAGCAACCGTCACAGTAGTGAGTACGACGAACTCATCATACAGGGTTCCATCTAATCCAGTCATAGCCTGCATCGTTAGGATTTGTCCCGGTCGCTATTCACTTTGATCTCTTCAATATCCTCGTGGGCCATGGTGGACCCGCGACAGCCGACGAGATATCGGCTATCTGCAATGCACGTATCCAAGCCCGAGGGGAAAGTGAGCCTGAGCTGAGTATGTCCTTGATTTTGAATGGCTGGTGGCTATTATGGCTGTTATACTAACAATGAATATAGGTACCAGATTAGCCTGTAAGGACACCCATATATACCTAAGAAGTGGTACTCCGTACACCAATACTAAATAAACCCCTTTCCGCAGCGGACACACTCTACATCATGGCTGGGCTCGGCCTCGTCGAACGCGTGGCCGAGGACTGCTTCACAGCAAATGCCATCACAAGCCACATGGTTGCCATGCCGTCTGCCCAGCATGGCGCACTGCACTTGTCAGTTTCCCCCTACATGCCCGGTTTCTATTCCAGAAACTACATAATCTTCTAAACATGCACTAACCCCCACCCAGCACCACGGAAGGTCTAATGGCCGGCGCATTCTTGATGAAAAAGCTCCAGGACACCCGCTTTGCATACCCCTTTGCTGAGGCAGACGGCCCCTTGCAATATGCCTATCGGCTAATGGGTCAATCTGAGTTGGCGAAGCAGCATACATACTCGATTATGGAGACCCAGGGTCGCATGGATAGTTTCAACCATTTCATGGTGGGCAAATTCCTGAAGTTCGGAACTTTCCCCGAGCGCGTCAAGTCGATGGGCTATGATTTAAATGGCGCGTTGGCGGGTGGCACTGCCACTAACACCAGTACTGGCTCGGCTACTATGGTCGATATCGGCGGCGGTCGTGGCGAACTACTCCTTGAGGTCCAGGCGGCGTACCCGCATCTCGGGGCCAAGGATCTAATTGTGCAGGAGTTCAATGCCGAAATTGATAGCGTGCCTGGTGTGAGGCTTATGAAGTGGAATTACAAGGAGGAGGCTGAGCAGCCTATTCGTGGGGCCTGTGTTTACGCGTTGCAACATATCTTGCATAATTTGCCTGATTTGGATGCTGTGGCGTTGCTACAGAAGATTTCGCGTGCTATGGCACCTGGTTCGCGGGTTTTGATTATTGAATATGCCAAGAATTTGACTTATACTTCGCTTCATGCGAGTATGATTGCGTTGTATGGGGGCCGAGAGAGGAGTTCGGTGGAGTGGAGGCAGATGGCGGGATTGTGTGGGCTGGAGGTGACTTTTGAGGTTTATGTTAAGGCTGGAGAGTCATTGGTGGAGATGAGGAGGATAGTTCAGGGCTGATAGAATACTTAAATTTAATAAGTGTTGTTAATGTGATGCATCATTTCTCACCCCTCTGATGTATACAGATCACATCCCTTCACTCGCTTCGTTTACCCGACGTTTATAGTTTTTATCTCTCGAACCCATATGCAGATCATTGCAGATCCGATCTAAGACTGTATCGAACCCATCAATTCCACATGGATACGTACAAAGTACAGAGTACTCGATGTGTTTTCTCTTTTTCATTCCTCGTCACATCCCTTACTGCAGATCGCATGGCCACTTGCATGGTTTCTACCCCCCTTTCCACCAAGAATGTCGCCTGTGCTCAATCCACATGGTTTTGAAATGCGAACCTGTCAATTGCCACGATCTTTTGATCGCATTTTCTAACCCCTCAGATTGGCCACGCGAGTTCAACTCCTGTCAGAACTTGACATACATGACCCGTATCCAGGGTTTAATGCTCCATATCATTCAACGCACCCACAGCTCGCTTCGCTTGACCCGATTGCTTTTCCTACGTAAAGCCCACCGGTCTAAATTACATCCCTTGTTTCCTCTTGATTCACTCTTATTATACGCGCCTCTCTACCCGATAGACGAGGGTCTAAACAGGTTTCTGACCTGTAAATCGGTTCGTGCGAGAGACTTTGGCGTGATCTTCCTTCTTGACAACCTTCAAAGGCAACTTGGAAACTTTTCTCTGCTAGTTCTTGATCCTGGATTGGATTTGGGTTCTATTTCTTTTTGCTTCTGATCCATCTGATCGACCCCGCGCATCCCTCTCATCTCGTATCCATGCCAATGAGTATTTGAATTGGCTCCCCGCGCTATAATTGAGAAATTAGGGAATACTTGGCTGCTCGACATATCTTAGTCCTTGTGTTTCATCTTCATCATGGATATTCCGAAACCTGGTGAGGGCGATGTTAACATCGGTATGTTTACCCCATGGCAAAGGCCAAGCAAATGGACCTAGAACATAGTGGATTGACATGTTTGAACAGGAACTAGCACATTTCAGGCTTGTTGGGTATGCTATCCTCAGCTCTAGGTTACCTTTGCATATGCGCATACTAATCCTCAGGCAGGTCCTCACAGCCATTGTCGGCGTGGCACTGTTGTTCCGTTATGCCATCAAGGTCTGGGTTCGCTGGGCTTTACCGCAGGTTACTGCACCCGGCCGAATCTGGGGCACAGAGGACTTGTTCTTCCTTGTGGCTTGGGGTTTTGATCTTACCCATATGATATTTATTCAAATGAGGTGAGATTGACTTTTGTCTTGTGGTTACTCCATGCCAGATACTAAATCTACATAGTGCCAACTGGGGCCTTGGCAGGCATTTCTTCTACTTGACTAATGAAGAGCGCCTGAATGCTATGAAATGGGACTTCCTTTCACAGCCGCTCGCCGTCACCTCGGCGATGGTCTCGCGCGCAGGGATGATGTGGTTTCTTTTGACTTGCTTTGCGGCGAGCGACAAAAAGATTCGCCTGTCCATTATTGTCTGTTCTGTTGTTCAGGTTGTTGTCAATATGGTTACAATCGTTCAAATTATTGTCCAGTGCGGGCCGAACCCATATCAGACGGTTAGTATCCCCCATCTTATTGCTTGACTTATTCTAATTTCGTCGCAGACTGACCGAGTCCAATACTTCCACTATATGTGGACACCACTCCCCGAAGATGGCTCCGTCAAGTGCCAATCACCTACTGTCCAGACAACTGTTGGCTTTGTGCAAGGAGGTATGTGAAATGATCATACTTCAGCTCAAAGCGAAGCTAATTACAATTCCTACAGGGTTCAACACCGCCATAGACTTCTTCCTTGCCGTGCTCGCTGCCGTCGAACTCTGGCAATTCTTCCTGCGAACCCTTCACCGTAATCCAAACACCTCATTCTGGTCCCAATTCTGCAAAATCAGTGGCACCGTGCGATCCCGCCGGATCTGGCAAACCATAACTCTCAGCGGACCACTGCTCCTCTCCGGTTGTGCTTCTATTGTAAAAACCTATGTGGGTAAACTATTATTTCCCAGCTTATACAACAACGCTAATATCATGTACCAGAAACTCAAATCCCTCGGTGATAGACAGGACTTCACATATAACATTGTGACCTTCGTTCTCTGGGTGAAGTAAGCACAACCACCATCTTCCGGTCCTAATAGCATTAACTAACAAATCCAGAATCGAAAACTACAGCATCCTGCTCGCCTCATGCGCCCCGGTAGCCCGTCTCTTCCTCCGCTCATTCGTCGACCACAGACGCGAAGGCCGCAGTCACGGCTATTGGTCTCGCTCCCGATCAACTGACCACAATGAGCCTGACACGGAGCTGAAACGCCGCGCCCAGGTCCAGGACCAGTGGCTGGATTCGGCTACGGTGACTAATATGACCAATGCTGATGCATATATTAAGGATGAGGAGGATCAGTGGAATGGGCATAAGCATAAGCGCTCGAGTAGTCGGATCTCAAAGGCGGAGATTCCCGAGCATCTTGATGATGGTCGTGTAACTGTTAAAACGGATATTGTTGTTCACGTTGATGATAGGAGGTCGATTTCTTCAGGTGGCACGAGGTTGTTACCTGATGGGGGCGAATCTCATTCTGCGGGGTTTCATTGATTTGCGATATATAGATCTCTAGTATATAATAAAGTCTTTAATAACATTGTCTCTTTTCCTTGCCACCCTATATTCGTGTGGAAGGCAGATAGTGGGAGATGGGGAAGGCCACGGTGCCAGTGGCAGATAACAAGGGTCTGCGATCTGATTGCACCGGGCGAGAAAATATATGGAATGTATGACCTTTTCATACAGGCATCTGAAAATTGGGAAGTCTATATTGATATGGGTTATGATATTATGAACAGATCTATACAATATTATAATGTAGGGCAACCCCTGCTCTGGGTTGGTCCATTGGCAGAAATTACTTAGTTATGCATTTTCTATAGTAAATGTAGCAATTTCTAGCGTTAGGGGAGCAAATATGTGATAGATTTTATCCCTATGCAGTAATAAGAAGATATATAATAATATTAGAAAATGAGTTAAATATGGAGTATCTGCTTCGTGCGTTCTATATATATAGCGCGGACCACCTATAAATGATGCCCAATGAGCAACCAATCTGTGCATACGATAATAGTCTTCAATCAAACTAGGTTATATATTGGCTTAAATTGACAGAAAAGAGGGGTGGTAGAGTATATAAAAATAATGATATCAACATACATGAATTTGGAAAGAGAATATACTGATCACATAGTGTACTTGTGTTGTACTATATCAAGTTTTGGGTCATAATGTCATTTTTGGCCTGTCCATTCATCAATTGGCACAAGTGGTCGAGCAGTTTCCTGGTCTAGCGGTTATGATTTTCCGTTAACAAATGCGATTAGCATATGTTCCGGAAAGGTTCTGGGTTCGATTCCCAGGGAAACTATTTTTTTTGTGTTTTTGCTCTTTTTTCTCTTTTTTCTGGGATGTAAATGATAGTGGAGCCCTTCAATCCTTTTTTCGCCTTGTCTGACATCAAACAGTTTCCTGGTCTAGCGGTTATGATTTTCCGTTAACAAGCGCGATTAGCGTATGTTCCGGAAAGGTTCTGGGTTCGATTCCCAGGGAAACTATTTTTTGTATCTTTGCTATATAAACGTTAGCTGAGGTACATCTTTTTTTTTTCGATTTGTATCGCCCACAAAATACTTTTTTTTCTTTTATCACTTAATAGATAATTAATCCCACCACAACTAGTGTCTAAGCTGCTGGTATTAATATATAATATTTAAAATTATATTTATAAATTAAAAAGGAAAAAGTTGCTAGCTAGTATGGTAGTAAAAAGAAGGCATAAAAATGAGCAATAGAAGTTACAAACCGTACTCCGTCCACAGCATTATAGAAGATGTTGCCTACTTTGCCCATGAGTCCAACCCTGAAGACAGGTGGGTCCTCACTAGTTAGTTAGTATGTATAACAGTGCATCTCAAGTCTGTAACATTGGAAAGCTTGTTTCGGCCTTTAAAGATTCCAAATATGGATATTACCGATGACATAGAAATCACGTGCATCTATCCAAATCCCCACTGCGTCGTCAATAGCTTCACACTCCAACAATGCCGCCCAACAAACCCGTCTTCCCTTACCGACGGAGCTCCAATGCCTCGGAAGATGACTTCTTCGATATCCCCGACGAACCATGTCTATCCATAGTCAAGCGCCAGTTACGACGTGTCCGAACATGGGCCGCAGTCGCCCTTATCGTCCTATTTATCCTGTGGCAACGCCGTGAACGTCCCCCACCGCTGCCCTTACCCCATATCCACTACGACGAAGTTGACTGGTCGCGCTTTGCCTATACCCAGTATGCAACCAACGAGGTCTACATGTGCAACTGCCTGATGGTCTTCGAGGCTCTGCACAGACTCGGCAGCAAGGCGGATCGCGTGCTGTTTTACCCGGAGGAGTGGGACCTCGTTGTCGAGGATGAGTATGATCGCGTCAGCCAGTTGCTACTTGAAGCTAAACACAAGTACAACGTGGTGCTGATTCCGATTAAGATCGAGGGAGTTCAGGATCCAGCAGGTAAGTTGGACTGCCGTTGTTAGAATCGCCCTAGCCTCTTGAACACACCTACTTACATGTCAACCCCATTTCATAGTCTCCGGTTCTAGGGCTTCGTGGGATACTAGCACCGCCAAGCTCATGGCCTTCGGCGAGCACGAATACGACCGCGTTATCCATCTCGACTCGGACGTTCTCCTCCTACAGACAATGGACGAGCTCTTTTTCCTCCCACCTACCACTGCCGCCATGCCACGTGCCTACTGGCTTCTCCCGGACAAAATGCTCTCGTCACTGCTGGTCGTCATTGAGCCCTCTCTCCGCGAATACCTTGCTTTGACCGAGGTTACTACACTCGCTCAGAACGGTCAAGTCGATCTGAACCTGACGGACCACCGGTATGATATGGAACTGTTGAACAGGCGGTACGGGGACTCGGCGATGGTCCTCCCGCATCGACAATATGGTCTGTTGAGCGGCGAGTTCCGGACGAAGGATCATCGGAATTTCCTGGGGAATGATGATGAGGTGTGGGATCCTGATCATGTCCTGGCGCAGGCTAAGTTTGTGCACTTTTCGGATTGGCCGTTGCCGAAGCCGTGGATTATGTGGCCACAGGAAATGTTGGCAGAAGAGCAGCCGAAGTGTGATAATTATCCCGGCACGCCGCAGGAGAGTGGGTGTCGGGACCGGGAGATTTGGAAGATGCTATATGATAAATATCGGAGGCAACGAAAGGTATGTTAGTTTCTAGTTTCTGGGAATGAGGATGAATTGGCTGGTTGCTAACTGTTGGTAGGATATCTGCAAGCTGCTCAGTTATCCGGCGCCGGTTTGAGCGGGACCAGGGCCGTGATTCAATTGTATAGATATGTAGCATATAGGTAGATTATGGCGTTTGGGATATTAACTCCGTAAAGAGAAGTCATGAATCAACGACAAGTCTGGTATCAAAAATCAAAAATTGACTGGATATCTCCAAAAGTAGTATACAAAACACCCAAACACCACAAATGCAACTCCATCCCCATGAAGTGATCAAGCATATCCCATCCCCCTCCTCCACCAATTCCACACCCCCTCTTCGCCATAATGCCCCCAAACTCCTTAACACTCTCCACCTCATCCAATCCCAATGGGAGATCCAACTCTTTCCCACCTTTCTTCTCCCCGTTCCCGTTTCCAGTCCTCTGTTTTCCACATTCACACTCCTCCTCCACAACCCCGGGCCTTGTAACCAACTGGAAGTCCTTATATCGCAGTCGACGGACAACGTCCACCCAGCTCTCCACCGGCTCCTTCCCGCCCTCCACGTACATGATCCCCGGACATCCGCCGGAGCGCAGGAGTACGGCGCATTGATGTGTGTCTGCAGCACGCTTGAGGGCGGCTACTTTTTTGCGGGAGGTTATGTGGTGGGTGCGGATTAGAGCGTTGTAGAGTGTTTGCATTTTGGGCGGAACAGGAGAGAGAAGGAAGTTGAGGCTCCAAGGTTGGAGCTTGGAGCTTGGGGGCGCTAGACTGGATTAGGAAGTAGGATGGGAACCTTGAATATGGTTTTGGGGATGAGGTTTGATACGTACCTAGGTATATGCCTATATTAACATTGGTATTAGTTGTTATTTAACAATATTTTAATTTGAGCGATCTTTTATTTGATTACAATCACTAGTATACATATATGGTCTGTATGAGATTGACTATGATCATAGCCCATACCTCCAGGGCTACTCCGTATATTACAAATATTGATACCTGAGGCATAAACGTATTACTAATCCCACGTGAGAAATTCTCCGGTGCAAGTGTCAGTGGGAAGTCAAAAAGTCAAAGTCGAGTGCGGGGGTTGGACATTTGGACATTTGGACACTGCATGAACCTGTTGTGTATGACAATGCAGGTGTCTTGGAACACAGTGTGACATATATACGTGTAACCCATCTGAATGTTGGTATAGACTGAAAAATACTATGTATGGATTATACCTACAGGTATGTATAGGACTGTCTTAAAATTCTAGACCATATAGACCTAACTAGGGTAGATAGTCATAGTCCATAGTCCACCTATATATAATTATACGGTTAACGAGTTACCCGCTATAATAAAGATCGCCTTCCAACATGGCCTCTGAACTGGTTCGGTGGATCCTTTTTCTCACCTTGGCTTCCTTTTTCTGCAAAACAATCGCGCGGTGCCCGCGGATTCCGCGGAAATTTTTCGGTCCTTTTATATTGCAAGCTTTTCTCCGAATAACTGCCAAAATTGATGAGAGCAACGAAAGTAATGAAAGTAATCGTGATAAACCAAAAAAAAAGACCATGGTTCGCACCCACTTTCCCCTTGTCATTGGCTATTATGACGATATATGGTCAGAATATCTCCTTTCGGCCCACCACCATCTTGACGATTCGGATTTTTCATCGCCCACCGGATTGGTTGGTCATCCCCATGAGCATCATAATGAGCCTTGGCTTCCCTTTTGGGAGATGTCGAGTCGTACCTTTTTCTTTCTTGGTTGAACTAAATTCTTATTCTTGTTCTTGTTTTTTTATAAATATGAATCAAGATCGTGCAATTTCTTCGTATATAGTACCATGACTTCGGGATTTTCTTGAACTATCTAAAGGCTTTAATATGCCCGCTCCTCTTCACCCCCACCTGAAGCATAGTTCTTCCTTTGCCACGGAGAAACACAACAATGAACCTCCAAGAGTGCAGGTCTCACATGAAGACGAGGATGCCCTCGCCGACATCCATCACACACTAACAGCACAAACCCACCCGGACCCCAAGTATCCGGAACCGCATTCCTCTTTCGATAAGTTCCTGGAGGAACAAGTCCAGGGTAAGAAACCAGCCAACCTCGGAGTCTGTTTCCAATCCCTCTCAACCTGGGGGGACGGGGACTCCCACGCAGATGTAAAGACCGTCGCAACAGCTCTGTGGCGTACCCTCACCCTACAGGATATCTATGAGTGGACGGTCCAGCCATGGATCGCAAAGAAAAAGCCCGAGCATGGGCGTCCGCTGATTCGGGACTTTTCCGGCGTCGT